ATTTTAATACATGTTTTCGCTAGAGTATTGATGAATCGCTGTATTTTTCAGGCTGTGATTTATGTACGGGTTGGTTAGTTGTATTTTGCAGGTTGTGATGTATATACGGGTTGGTGTGTCGCTGTGTTTCCCAGTCTTTAATGTATGTACGAATTGGTCTGTCGTCGTGTTTTCCGTCTGTATACGGATTGGTGTGTTGTTATGTTCCCAGACTGTAATGTATATACGGATTGGTGTGTTACTGTGTTCCCAGGTTGTGATGTATATACGAATTGGTGTGTTGCCGTGTTTTCCGAATGTAAATGGATTGGTATGTTGTTATGTTCCCAGACTGTAATGTATATACGGATTGGTGTGTTACTGTGTTCCCAGGTTGTGATGTATATACGAATTGGTGTGTTGCCGTGTTTTCCGAATGTAAATGGATTGGTATGTTGCTCTGTTTTTCAGGCTGTAATGAATATACGGGATGACGTGTTACCGTGTGTATACAGATTGGTGTGTTACTTTTCCCAGGTTGTGATGTATATACGAGTTGGTGTGTTACTGTGTTTCCCAGGTTGTGATGTATATACGGGTTGGTGTGTTACTGTGTTTCTCAGGTTGTAATGTATATAAGGATTGGTGTGTTACTGTTCTTCCCAGGTTGTGATGTATATACGGGTTGGTGTGTGTTGCTTTTGATTTTCAGGTTGTGATGTATATACGGGTTGGTGTGTTACTGTGTTTCTCAGGTTGTAATGTATATAAGGATTGGTGTGCTGCTATGTTTCCCAGGTTGTGATATATATACGGGTTGGTGTGTTACTGTGTTTCTCAGGTTGTAATGTATATACGGGTTGGTATGTTTCCCAGACTGTAATGTATATACGGAATTACGTGTTACCGTGTGTATACAGATTGGTGTGTTGCTGTGTTTCCCAGGTTGTGATATATATACGGGTTGGTGTGTTACTGTGTTTCTCAGGTTGTAATGTATATAAGGATTGGTGTGTTACTGTTCTTCCCAGGTTGTGATGTATATACGGGTTGGTGTGTGTTGCTCTTGATTTTCAGGTTGTGATGTATATACGGGTTGGTGTGTTACTGTGTTTCTCAGGTTGTAATGTATATAAGGATTGGTGTGCTGCTATGTTTCCCAGGTTGTGATATATATACGGGTTGGTGTGTGTTGCTCTTGATTTTCAGGTTGTGATGTTTGTACGCGTGGGTTTAGTTATTTCTTTCAATTAACTCTGTATGTGGTATCAAACCTCATACCTTAATTGTAATTGGCAATAGAGTAAAAATGTTATTTATACGCAACTAACTAACTGTATATATATATGGAATACGTCAGTGCTACATCTGCACGTGTATGTCCTTAATTTGTTTTATTCAACTATTTAATTGAACACAAATTAGACGCATTGTTGAATTCGAACAACAACCTTAGATGAAATAGGCATAGCGTTTATATGTTTCACCATTGTTTATTATCAAGAGTAAAGGTATTATTTTATATTTTGTATGAGTGCACATGACAACAGATTATACAAGTTTCT